TCCCTCTTGAGCTGCTATGGCAATCAAAAGCTCTTTAGCTTAAGCAGGTTTTGTCAAAAGTACTAAATGCTGGATACTTTGAGAATTTTCTATTGAATGAACCAATTTAAGTATCATATGCAAATAGTAAAGGCATAATTGAGAAGAAAGGGCTTAGGCCAAATTACTCACAGAGAAGACCCAATTCCTTCCAAATGGGGAAAAGGCAACTGGAAAGATTTTTACCTGTTGCATAATTTTTTATTAGCTCTTTTTGCTGGTTCAAATAATGGTTGAGAGCTGGCTACTTAGAAAAGCAAATACTCTAAGATAAAGTAAACAATTCTAGTTCTTCAGCTAGAGAAATTTTAAAATCAGAAAATGAGTAAAACATTAAGTCTAAAATTAAATGTGCTAATTTTATTTTTTTATTTCAAGTTACCATGAAGTTCAATTTTTCAACATCTTACAAGAGAAAAGACTGTAGATGAACCAAAAGGTTATTCTACCATGAGATAACTGTAAAATGATGCTGGAAACATGTAAGAACATCTTGAAAACTCTATCACTATGTTTGTACATCTTTCTTTCTGACTCTATATACAGTCTTTTTAAAAAATGTGTGGTCTTAAATGGTTATACTTTTATGGAGATTACAGTAACATGGACATAATTATTTGTATGATTAGGGAAGAATAATCTTTCATGCGGCTCTCATCTTTAAAAGCCCAATTGCTTTAAAAAAAAAAAAAAAAGCCCAATTGCTCAGCTGCCCACAACACATCTTAACCAAGACACATTGATCCAAAGGCAATTTCCCAAGAAGAGAAGGCAATAGTGACTCCACTCTAGCTTCACAAAACGTAGCCTATGGACCAAAGGCAAAAGTCACAAACCATGCCCATCCCTTCTCAGAATTTATCTAGCCTCAGGGCTGGGGATTTAGCTCAGCGGCATAAGGGCCTGCCTTGCAAGCAGACAGTCGTGAGTTCGATCCCCGGTACCGGTAAAAAAAAAAAAAAAAAAAAAGAAAAAGAAAAATACAAAAAAAAAAAAAGAATTTATCTAGCCTCAGTCATTATAAAGAGTAACTTCCACATCAGGGGAAATGAACTATTTCAGAAATGTATCCTGTGTAAGATGGTCTTGTGAGTTTTACAACCAAGGAGAAGGGTAAATTGTTTGGTTAGAATTCAAATAAAATCAGTTTAAAGGATACTTGCTACAGCTGTATGTCATGAAGTAAATCTCAGTGGGGATGGAGAATTTTAATCTTGCAAAAGATAGTCATCAGTAAAGGTCTTTCTCCTTTTCCATGTGCCCAGTAATATAGGTCACAATTTCTCCCAGGAGATACAACAGTATGAAACACAAAGTTAAAAGTCGTATGAGGACTTGAGGCATGAAACACTAGATCCCATCTCATTTGGGAAACATCCAAGAACTGTTCCTTGTTTTGAAACTGTGTAAAAGGCTGGTTATATAGCATACAATGGTTGTGTGCTTGCCTAGCACACTCAGGCCCTGGGTTAGATTCTCAGCACTACAAAAAGATCATCATCACTGCATATTATAAAAATGAAGTAAAGCTCACCAGCACTCAGGAGGCTGAGGCAAGATAATCAGGAGTTCAAAGCCAGCCTAGACTACAAGGCAAGACCTTGTCTCAAAAAATGAATAAAATGAATGGATAAAGCAGGAGAAACACATCACTGTCACCATTTTGTTCTATTTTAACCTAATCTTGATAAGTAAACATCACAAAAAGGTAACAGGCTTGAAGTCATGATAACTGCAATTGTTTAAAATCATTAAACAACTTAAATTCATTGGCCCATTATGCTGAATTAATTTAAACAAGAGTACTTTTAAAACAGACCAAACACTAAATGTAGGCAAAGAAAAATGACAATGTTAAGATGCACAAAAAATGCCCAAGAAGTACAAGTAATTAAGCCTTTAAAAAAAAAAAAATTCACAAACCATAGACTACAGCAACCAATTAAGGCTTTTAAAAAATTCCACAAACAGACTAAAAGTGGCTTTCTTGACTTCTATTACTCAATAGAGGTTACTGGGGAATAAAATTACCTCCTACAACAGATGGTATCATTTCTACCATTACTTGTCTGGCTTTTCAAGACCTTTACTACATTGAATTATGAGCAAAGTGATAGAAAGTGAGTAAGATTTTTAAATACTGCCTGTCCCGTGTTTAATTTTACATATCACAATGTCCCTTTAAAGGAGTTTCCAGTAATAAGTAATTGTATGTTAGCTTTTGAGATGTGGCAGAGCCTTATCCTTGCAGAGCTTTGAATTTATGTACAAGCTTGGGTACAAGGCAAGTGGTCAGATTTCTTTTTCTTACCAACAGAACAAATCAGATCCTACTCAAACCATAGTAAAGGAATTTAAAATCAATCCAGGTAGTTGGGAAACAGTTAAAGCTGAAGGAGGAAACAGTATTGTATTATTCCTTTTTTCATTATTTGAAAAAAGGCAGTTATTATGTCTATGATATTTTAAATTCTACCCGTCCTATTATTATTATTATTATTATTATTTTTTTTTTTTTTTGCCATGAACACAGATGCAGAAATGTGTCAATTTGTTTGAGTTATGTAAGTCTTTAAATTTGCTCAAATTTGGAGCTTTTTCACTGTGGCCATAATGACAGACTTCAGTAAGTAAGGCATGACATTGCACCAGAATTGCTGAGTCCTGAAATTTATAAAATTTACTCTACTTATATGTTCTTTTACCATCCCAATTACTGTTTACCTAGTAATTTTTAAAGCTCAAAAAAAGTTTATCTCCTTTACTATCATTCTAATTACCATTATCCATTTGGTCACAGGTGTTATATACTAGGTACATCTCATTAAAAACACAGAATGCAGAAAGAACTTTTGCAAAAGGGAAGGATATAAAGAGATGGAGAGAGGGGAGGAGAACAGAAGGGGATAAAAAAAATAAGATGTATTACATACATGTACTAATTCCCTATGATAAATGTAATCATTATGTACTGCAAACATGAAAAAGAGCAAACCTAGAAAAGAAAACTAGTAAAAATATTAATCAAAAAACCAACAAAAATAATCTCAGATCCATCAGTGTACAAAAACACATTCTGGCATGCTCATTCAGCAGCATATATTTTAAAAGTGTAACTAAAGTCATGCTTTGAGAAACAGTAATTTAGTCCTAAATTCTTATGTCATAGTTAAGGAAATAAACTCTAAGAGAAAACATGACCTGCCGATAGACACATAGCACCTACAACTGAAATAACCAACACAGTCCCACTACAATAAGACTCTCCAGATGGTTAACCTACCAGGAGAAGTAGAGACCTGGACTTAGGAACTGACCAAAGAGTGAGCCTTGAGAACTCAGGAGCCCTTTGCTTATGGATCTAGGCTTTCTACTATCTCTGAGAAGCAACATACAAACCATGGTACTTAGCAGTTAACTCTCTCTAAGACTGTATGGCCTGGCTGAATCTCATGTGGTTTTGTCCAACTCACTGAATTTCAAGGTATAAGACCAAAGATAAACATGGACCAGTTTCCTAATTTTTGATCCAACAGTGTGTGAGCCCCTTACCCTCACAGTTAAGACTCACACAGGCTCTATAGGGTTTCAGGAAAAAGATTTTCCATCTCTGGGTTTTAGGCTAGCTTTGGAAACAGGCAGGAAGTTTCCATTACAGAGTCACTCATGTATTTCCCAGATATCCAGAGAGCAGGTTTTATTTTCAAGTGATAGATAATTTGTGTCTGTATACCTAGCAATGTTTCGTACACTGTCCCATAAGTTGTGGGTCCAGATAAGCTCGGCTATGTACACCATACAGCTAACAATAAATGTTATTAAATGTTTATTTAGTGCTCACTTCGGCAGCACATTTACTAAAATTGGAATGATACAGAGATTAGCATGGCCCCTGTGCAAGGATGACACGCAAATTTGTGAAGCGTTCCATATTTTTTGAACAGCTATTTTGAAGAAAACAAGACATTATAATAGCCAGTGCTGATTTAATCTCATCTTGTTTTGAAGTCCTACCATACTTTTGTTCTTCTGTTTCCATTGGTTCCATCATGTAGTATCTTATTGGATTTTATCATGTGTGGTAGTCTAAACAAATTTTTTATGGACAATGGGATAAATAGTAACCATCGTTCATTTTCTGTTATTTAGTTCTGAATGCCCTGTAATACTTTCATTCTCTCTAATGGTTTTATACTAGCGTTATATTTGATACTATTGTGTATAAAGGTATGCTCAAGGAAAGAGGCATTATGGTAGCTACTGTTATATCGGGTTGTCTTGTGGTGAAATACTGTGTTGCTTAAATTGTTCTTTTCTGATCTGCTTTTTCTGTCCTTTTTACCTTAATCTCTTTAAAATAAAAATTTTTTTTAAATGTTTATTTATATACCAGGTACTTTGCCATGTCCTTGAAATGTACTTTCTTATTTAATTCTAACAACTATTTGCTGTGATTATCTTCATTCCACACATAACAGACCTATGGCTTAGAGCTACGTGGCTCATCTGCATTTCAAGTGGCAAGTAGGTCAAATTCAAACTCAAAATTCCAACTGAATCTGGATCTATGCTCTTTTTTTTTGTACCAGGGATCAAACTCATGATCTTATGATTGCCAAGCAGACACTTACACTGCTGAGCTAAGTTCCGGCCTTAGAGCTATCCTCTTAATGTACTAGGTATACTCAATCCTTTTAAAAAGTCATTTAAGGGGTTGGGGATATACAGCTTAGCAGCAAAGTGTCTGCCTGGCAAATGCAAGGTCCTGAGTTCAATTCCCAGTGGCAAAAAAAAAAAAAAAAGTCATTTAAAAGGTATCTGGTATATTTTAGATTTCTTTTTTTTTTTTTAATTGGTAGCGGGGATCGAATTCATGACCACGCGCTTGCAAGACAGGTGCTTATGCTGCTGAGCTAAACCTCCAGCCCCTAAAAGGTATCTGGTATATTAAGTTAACTTACTCCTTCACTTTAGAGAGATCTTATGCACTTGTGAAGTTCAACAATATAGCACATTCTGGAAATGCCATTTTCATATTGAGCTGAGTTCACTTCTTATAGTCCAATAATATTCAATTTGTAGTATCTGCATATCAAAAAAACACAATAACAATGCACATTGTTAATTATTATCTAAATCAAGTGTAGGCATTTACTGTATGCAAAACTGGTGAACTAATGTGGTAAAATAAAAAATAAATTTGGCATTTGTCCTAGGTTCTTGCCAGTTCCTAAAACCTTGGAATTTCCTAAAACCCTTGGAATTTCCTGACTGCCATGTCTTTTGTTATTCCTGAAGAGCCTCTGGACCACACCTGAGTTTATGCTAACAGGCCCCTTTTTTTCTCCTACAGGTTTTAAGGGTGGGACTGGCCAACACACAGAAAGGAGCAAGATTAGATTATATGCCCTACTTTCTGACTTGTGAGCAACTAAAGACAGTTCAATTATTAATGGCCAATGACCAGAGTTCTATAATAAAATCTCAAAACTCTGAAACAATGAACCTGGGAGAATTTCTAGGTTGGTGACCACACAGATATGCTGGGAGGATGGTAGGCACCCAGAGCTGCCATGTAGCTCTGCATCCTCCAACACATCCTGGCCCTAAGCATCTATTCTAGTTGGCTTTTCCTGAATTAAATCATGTTTGCTGGTTTATTTTGTTTTGTGAAGGGGGTGCTAGGGAATCCAACTCAGGGCCTTGCACATGCTATGTAATTACACCCTCAGCTCAAGTTCTATCTTTTATAGTGAAACTACAGTTCTAAAGAAATCACATATTGGCTGAATTCTATTAATCACGCTAGCAATTTTTCAAACCCAAGGAGGAAGGTAACAGAAATCTCTGATTTTGTAGTCTGCCAGGCAGAAGTACAAGTAATTTGGGAATACTCAATAGCTGTAGCTGGCATCTGAAATGGGGCAAAATCTTGTGGGGCTGAATTAACATGTGGGTTCTGGTGCTAATTTCAGATGAAACAGGGCACATTCAGGGTGGAATGGCCATAAACACGGTGCTAATTTCAGACAGTATCAGAGCTAAATTGCTGAACTTGGTGCTGGAGAACTGTAGGAATGATATAAGACTGATTTAACCTACTGAAGAAAACATTCATGTTTACAGAAATGCAAAGTTTAAAAATGATTACTTGGTGTTACTTGTGACTTATTTCATGCTTATTATCCCTCCCATGAGTCAGTCAAAGTTTTACATGTAACTCTTCTCCTGAATAGCAGACACTGTTAAATGACAAGAGCTACCACTTAGTATTCATTACATAAACTCTAATAAACCCAGATACATTTATCTTACCTATCAACTTCTGATTTGTGAAAATAAGTCCTAAATTAACAGAAATTTTTTTTACAAAATCAGAATGCCATAGGCAGTTTATCATGAATGACTGACTGACTAGTCAATCTTGATGACCAATCTAGTCGAACCAGGTAATACAACTCTCTGTTCATCTTTGTGCAGCAGAACTAAACCTTCCAGTTGAGGTTGGGGGTGGGGAGAGGGTTTGTGGTCAAGACTCTGGGCAGGGTCACCACACTGCCCAATTCTATTCCACAGGTCCCTGTGCTCTTAGTGAATGGTGTTCCCCAGAGTTGGGCAATCTTGTGGGCCTACTTCTTTCCAATCCACTGCTGCTCAGGAAGCACCAGTATAGCACTTTCAACCGTTTCTCTGCTGTCTACTGTGGACAAGTCTCTTTCCTATCACCAGCCCACCTCTGCCTCATACGTTGACTCCCCTTAACTAAACTAGCCATCTTAATGCCTCTGGAAAAGGCTTTAAGTTTTTTTTTTATAACAGGAAACTATAAGCCATGAACTGTAACCAACTGTTTCGAGTAAAATTACTAGATAAGTTAACTAGGTATTTGGAAGAAAAACTAATTTGCTTAGATAAAAGAACCATGCAAAAAATGGACACAGAGGGTCAGGCACAGTGGTATATTCCCGTAATTCCAACTACTTGAGAGGCTGAGGCAGGAGGTTACAAGTTGAAGGCCAGGTCTGGCAACTCAGTAAGAACCTGCCTCAAAATAAAAGGGGCTGGAGGTAGATCCCTGGCAAAACATTTAAGGCCCTGGGTGCAAAGCATCTGCTATACTAAGGAGAAAGCCAAACAGAATATATAGTTTTCACCATTAAATATCTAATTTTTCCATTCCTTTCACTGAGGAAAAAGAAGTCACTACAACTAGAAAAAAAAGCTCCTTAGAAGGTCAAACCTTCCATCATGTCCCTGATTCTGCTTCCTAGGGATCGCACTCCGTAGAGTCCTGGCACCATTACTGAGGTGGTGTATACCTCATGTTGTACTTCTTTTTAAAGAGCACCAAGGGCGATCATCTAGTAGATACAAACTAAGTGATTACCTTAAAACCAAATTTACTTCACAGATATTAAAAAATGAGTGTAAAGTCACCATAGTTACTTCTGCAGAATAGTTCTATCAATGTCTCCACTTTTCAGCATTCTGCATAGGTACTGTTTTAACGCCTCAACTTCTACTTGTGTTTTTGCTTGACAGATGGTCTTGCTATGCAATTCCAACAGGCCTCAAACTAATGGCCATCCTTCTGCCTCAGCCTCCCAATGCTGGGATTATAGGCATGTACCAACCATGCCTTGCCTACTTGAATGTAATGTGGTAATTTTCAGAAATATTTTGAGGTGAAAAGGCTGGTGGCTCTTTTAAGTATTCAAAATCCTTTGCTAAACAAGGGAGCTCTCATCACATTACTTATTAATAACTTTGCTTCATTTATGCCACAAGAGTCCTCTCTAAAAGATTAATCATTTGTGACCAAATGTTTGAATAAAGAACCCAGGAATATAGAAGACCAAACACCAAGGATTTAATTAGACTCAAATCCTATTTAGTGTCTATAGGGACTTTTGAGAGATACTATAACGCAGAGGACAAGAATCAGGGCTGACAAGACCTCTTCTTTGCTCTGTAACTTTCTCATTTTCTGTTTTCCCATTAAAACTACTGTTTTTCAACTGCTTTCCAGACCAAACCATTTTACTCAATTGAATCTTAGAAGAAAGGAAATAGAATATTACAGGAGCATTTTTCAGAATGAGACTGTGGCATAAGGTGGAAGGAAGAGAACAGAACTCTCACATCCTTGCCACAAGCATACTCCAGAAATGGCCCCCAAGAGGGATCCTTAAAGTTCAGCTTGAAAAAAAAAAAAAAATCACATTACATAGCTGAAAGTCCTGCAAAGATCTTTTTTCTGCTTCTTCCCAAACTGGAATAAGTAGAATTGATTACATTTAATATACCTAATGCTAGCCCTAAATACTATGTAGCATCAAAATTACAAATCACACCAGTTTACTTTAGGTCAATGCTACAGAGTCTAAGCCAGTAAGAGCTAACTTTTTAGAGCTTTCAACAACATAAACAACCTGCTGTGGCATGCATCCAATAGGTTTACCACCACTAGCCTAAGCCATTTGTGAATGAAAACTAAATTGAAAGGTACAGTATAACCAAATTTTGATGCTTGACTGTAGATGCAATGTTAGTAAATTAGGGAAGGGTAGGTGTTTTCAACACACAGTCTCCTAGATTAATACACAGTGCTGAACACTCCCACAGTTGAAAAGTCTTATATGTAGTGGTGCTATCCATGATCCTCAGTCAGTCAGTCATCAATCAGTCTGGATCTACTAGTCTCACTGACAGGATTTCCACTTGCCAGATCAAAAGATTTTGCCTTCTATCAGGGTAGAACATGAAGATGGTACTTCCCAAAGCTATGTAATCCAGTTGCCCATGCAACAAGTCACACCCAATATAGCACAACTCTTGAGCAAGGGCAAGTCCTCACGAGGCAGGAGTTATTAACAAATCTACCTGCCTATGCAACCAAGCTGGTAACAGGTGACTTATTTTGCCACTAGAGCTAATCATACCTCAACACTGATTTACTGACTTCCTTTTTGTGATGTACGGTATTTATAAGTAAGGTTTCATTTACATACATCTTAAAATAATTAGGCATTTTTTTAAACACAGCACAACTTCAAATAAACAGTTTGAGCCACTTTTAACATTTTCTCTCATTATTCCCTCATAAATCTTATTCAACTAAAAAGAAATAGAAAAACAAACTATCACCTAGAAAAATAAAAAATCTAGTGAAACTGGATTTGAGCTAAAGGACACCAACTCAAATGACCCTGGTCTGTTGTGCAAAGAGCTTCAGGACACTGTCCTAACATTAAGAATTGATCCTGGTTGGCTGGTATGAACATCTGTAAACAGACACAAAGAGGTAATTATAAGTTATCAAGAGCTGAGGAAACAAGAGTTACCATGTAATTGCCATTGTTCCAATGTGAGTTATCACTTCTTCAACTCAAAACAACTGGCAGCCAGTGTACAATTAACTCTCCTACTGCAAAACATATATCAAAACAGTAGCAAAATCAGATTAACTTTAAGTCATCTGATGCATCTAAACCACTTACCCACAACAGCAAGTGCCATTAGTTGCCTTTTAAGTTGTCCACTTTTCAGAAGCATTTGTCCAAAAGAACCCAAAGTTCAAGAGAAAAATTCACTGGTACCCTAGATTAAAGGGCTGACTCAGCTACGAGATTTCAAATTCACTTAGATTTGCAGATTCTTTCCCTAAACACAATTAGAGGCCATTGTAGGAGTCAAAGGCTTCTGCCTGTGTTCAAGTCCCCCTCCTACCCATCCACCCCCTTTCAAAAACTAAGAGCCACCAGTCTCCAAACTGGCTGATGAAATTTCAGCCTACAGGATATTTTCATACTTGAGTTATATATAATAAGCCATTGAAATGAAGACGAATAGTAACTTAATAGCCCACCAAATAGAGTATGGTATGCCCAGTATGGGCATACAAAAATCAAGCCCCAAATCTTTAACCTAGCCACAAATGCATGCATATGCGCGCGCGCGCGCACGCACACACACACACACACACACACCCGTCTCACTACCAGTTCTCTACTCCTTTGAAAAACTCTTTAGTATAGAGGGTGCAGTCTATTTGTGCCTGGTCCTAACTATTTAGTTTAGTCATTTGCTTGCTAGGACTTTCTCTTTGCATTTAAGTCAGAACCCAGTAATTCAGTGCCAGAGTCTAAGCAGTGATGGTGTATTTTTAGAGCTTTCAATGATAACAAAACTGACCGCCGCAGCATCCATGCCATAGGTTTGCCACCACTGGAAGCTATTTACTATACTGTTTAGAACAGGACTTTTTGAGCAGAAAGCTCTATTCAAGTTGGTTCTGATAATGCATCTATAGGTGTTACTGGAATACTAGGACTTAAAGTAGGTGACAGTCCTGTTTCTGATTCATCTTACTGAACACAAAAAAGGTTTAACTTTTCTGAGTTTACTACCAAAAGTCCAAGCAATCCTTAAATCTCTTAACTACTGACTCAAAAGGCTGATTCCCTTAAAGAACACATTCATCACTGTTGTGAAGTGCAAAAGAAGAAAAAAACATTCTCCATGTTTTAGCGCACTGTAATGTCTCAAAGAGTAAAGGGTCAGGGAATCATGATTAGGTGTCTCAAGTGGACAATCTTGGTCAACTTATGCCTCAAAAGCAGCACACTACTGGAGATTTGTCCCCAACACAAGGCAAAAGTAGGTTACATCCCTTGGTTACATGCCAATCCAAAGATGCCAACAGAGTGGAAATGAGTCCCACAATGGTCATTATCTATTGTAAGCAATGAGTGAACTTTTAGCACCAACCTACATCTCAGCTAAGTATTATCAGTCATCAGGAGGATGGACAAGAGTAGAACTACTGCAACATAAACTTTGCTTCCTTACAGAAACATTAAGTTTAAACTGAGATCTTGACGGTCACCTCTGTAGACCAACAGGGACACATTATTAACATGTTCCCAATCTTTTAATATTAAGTTTACAGAGATGAAAGACTCATGCTACCACACATTCAGAGCAGTTATACAATTTTAAATAGCAGCATAAGACAAATAACAAAAAAAAAAAATGTGCCCTCAATTGAATATCCCATTTAGTTTGAAATGCTCAGCAGATTTAGATGCCTGAAAAGGCCCAGGTGACCACTGTCTTTTCTCCCACCCTTGGCAGGCTATCCTTTTTAAATATAACAGACCAAAGTGCCTGCAAAAATAAATGATAAGACTCTCAGAAGGGAACTGCTGGATGCAGTGGTATATGGCAGTGGTATATGCCTATAATCACAGCACTTGGTAGACTGAGGCAAGAGGATTACTGCAGACTCAAGGTCAGCCTGAACTACACAGCAAGGTCCTCTCTCAACACCCACTTCAAAAAAAAGACACAGAGTTTTAAAAGATTTCTTTTTTCGGGCTGGGGATTTAGCTCAGCAGCATAAGCACCTTGCCTTGCAAGAGCGCAGTCATGAGTTCAATCCCTGGTACCCATTTAAAAAAAAAAAAAAAAAAAAAAAGATTTCTTTTTTCTTTCTCTTATCTATCCTGAGTCCTACCTCTGTTCTCTGACCCTGTCCTTTTTTACTCAATTTTCACTCAGTCCATTACTGTCCCGTTCTTCCCAGTCCTTGGAACTGGCCAACCTAATCACACTAGTTTCTGTCAGCAGTTTCCTAAACCTGTAAGGCTGCTCCTTTTAGCATGACTGAGTCCTTTTTTATTTAAAGTTCAGTGTAAGTGTCAACTCCATTTTGTTGTTTTGGTTTGGTTTTTTGAGACAGGATCTCATTAGATAGTCCAGACTGGCCTTAAACTCTCTATGCAGCACAGGCTGGCCTAGAACTCACAAACTTTCTGTCTCAGTCTTTCAAGTACTGTAATTACAGATGTGCACCAACATGAACAGTTAGGTCTTTCTCCACTGTATTCCCATTAGACAATTTCTATCACGTTGTTTACTTTCCTTAGCACTTAATCACTCAGATTTGATTATCTGTTTCTGTCCACAATCCCTACTCAAAGTTCCTTGAGAATAGAGCTTTTGCTTGTGTTAACCTATGTATACCCACTGCCCAAAACTTAGTAGCTACCACTTATGTAGCCAGTCAATAAATGTTTGTTGAATGAATAAATTTTGGGTTTTTGATTCAACAGTAAACTAACAAAGTTATGAATAAGAACAGTAGTCATTCTTTCATTGTATTTCTGTGAACTGCCTCAACAGTTACTTGTACAATCAAGGCATTAAATATTCTGTTTTATCAGGCTTGAAAGCCCTGATAAATAGGACAGGACTCTTCTCGGCATCAGAAGAACATCTGTTATGATAATTCTTCTAGCAATTTGCTTATCAAGCTCAGTTACAGATGTACAGGATTTATGCACAGTTTCTAATCAAAGGACCCCTAAAATGTGAGCAGTACCTCTTAAAGTTCTTAAAACAGTTTCAGATTTGACAGGATTTCTACAAAAATAAACACCAAAACAGGAGTCATTACACTTCATTCTGAAATCCATGACAGTCCAAGAATCACTTGGTGATTCTTTTTTAATACAACAGGATGTCAACAAGAATTCTTCCTAATCAATCTTTGTTTTCTTCAATATTTCTCATTTATTATTGCTTTGTATTCTTCTTTTAAGACAAAACAGACCACAGTGTTTCATTTAAGACCACCTGTACACAAAAAATCCGCTAAACAAATAAGATGAAAATCAGCCCTAGTCCATTGTGTCACTGAAGACCTGTGTGCCAGCCATACAAACAGAGAAAAAGATAAAAGAGCTACTGTCCAATTGTAGAAACAAAAAAAAGTAATATGGGGTTTTCTGTTCTCTGAAGTGCATCATGAAATGTGGGTGGAGAGAAACATAGAAATCCAGAATTAGACTAACATCAAATCGTTTTGGAAAGAGTTGACAATATGTAAATTCTCACACATAAAGTATTTAGAGCAAGAGACCTTGAATCTTGGGCTATGATACCATTCAGGATTCCTTTCAAGGGCTCTGGAATTCTCGTATTCATAAAATAATGTTTATTATAATTGGGAGCTAAGACGTGTTGAGAGAAACTCCCAATGTGAGACAGCTTGTAACTGAAGTATTACAAACCTTGCAGTATCTGGGATCGAGGCTGAACACCAAATTCAAAATAGGTAACCAAGGTACTAAGTGACATAATGGGCGGACTGGGGGGGGGGGAGTTACGAATGCCACTCAGCCAAAAAGAATTAAAGTAGAAACGAGGGGTGTGTGTGGGGAAGGATGAGGAGGATGGAAAAAACAATACATTTATCACCCCGTCCCACTTCCTATACAGGATACAGGCAAAACCTCCAGCCCATTACCTCAGACACAGATGGTTATCGCTTACAGCAAAGGTGCACAGAAAGGCCTTCAGGTCTGAGCCCCTTAATTCCAAGGCTGTTAACGATTAGAGAAGGATGGGGGTGGGGTGGGAAATGAGGGCGGAGGGAGCTCGAGATTCACCCACCACCACCCCCTTGGGCTCCTACCTCACGGCGCATAGCCGAGACTTGGGACCAGAGTCTAAACCCCCTCCAGGGCAGCTCCGGCCCCACAACCCCAGGCCCTGGGTTGAGGGGTGCTGGCAGTTGGGAAGCAGGGACAGTAGGTAAGTTTTCTGAGCCCTGCGGCTGACACGCCACAGGCTCTCCTCACAGCCTCTTCTCCAGAAAGACCCGTCCAGACAAGGCGCTGATTTCCACTCCTCCCTTCCAACCCTCTTCCCAAGGAACCCAACCCCCGCCCCTTCATCTCTCAATGCTCCCCCCTTTTCCTCAACTCCCCCCCCTCCCAAACTCACAGCTGCTCCAGAGGTTCCTCCAGTCAAACCCTTTCTGGAAACGACGGCGGCCCGGCGGATCCAAACCACCTACCATCCCCGCTCGCGTTTCCAGGCTCCCTACCCCCGCCGCCGCCGCCTCTTCTTCCACCACTGCCACCGCCTCCTCTTCATCTGCGGCCCACCGGCTGCTGCCGTCTCGAAACCCCGCCCCCTCCATTGCCTCCTGCATCATCACTTCCGGTAATCCCGCCAGCCGCCTGCTCCAGGAGGGAGACCGGAGGGGAAAAGGGTGGGAATGGGTGGACGATTACGTCACGACGTACGCAAAGACCGTACGAAGCCGTAGCCAAGTAAGGGCAAAGACGTAGCCCATGAAAGGAAGGGCTGGGCGGGGCCGAACTAGACCATTTTTTGATTGGAATGGGGGAGAAACATAGCCAAAGGAGGGGAGGGAAAATAGGGAGAGGATGAAATTGGCTATATTGTTGGATACGTCGGAAAATAGGATAGAATAGAAAGTTTAGAAAGGCTCTAGGCTAGCCCTGACCTGGAACTAATACTCCCTCATAAGTGCTCCCGGTGGTTTGGCCTGGCCTGGTTTACCGGACCTGCGGATGCTCAGTCGCCTGGGGTTCTGCAAAACTTCTGGTGCCGCCTCCCCCCAGCCTGCCCCCAGCCTGCCAGGGGCTGCGGCGCTTCTGTGGGTGGGGGAAGGTAGGATTGACGCAGAGTGAGTGTAAGAAATGGACACGCTGACTCTAGGCGCCGGGAACTGGGGGCAAGGGTTGGTCCTCTGGGACTAGGAGGAGGTGGGGGCGGGGGTGCAGTGTTGCTAAGAGACTGCGCTTGTGTGACCCCAGCCTTGCGAAGGCGGCTTGGTGTTGTCGCCGCTGACCTCAGCGACCTGTCTCAAGGAAGCAGCACGTGGGCCAGAAATGAGAGGCTGGTTTGGGAGTCCATCTTGAGACACTTGTGAAACTTTTGGCTCCCCTAAGATAAATGGTATTTGGTAGGAGTAATTCCAGGGTGAGAAGTCAGTTTAAACTAGGTCCTATGCAAAAACGAAGACTTACAGGACAGTTAAAGCCAGCTGCATTAATTCCGTCGGTCAACAAACCAGAATAAGACGAAAACTTTGCTCCTATTCAATCAAAGATTAATGAGTTAACAAGTAAACTAATAAGTATCAAAAAGTGAGAAATGACCTCCAAAGACCCGTGGAGAAAGGCCACCCCAAATTGGGGAAGGCTGGTCAGAGTGGGGACACCCTTTGCGGAGTGTGGGGGTGGGATCCAACTGAGAGAGAAAGGAGAGGCAGGGAATGAGCTGTGTAAGTGAAGATAAGAGCCAGTGAGACTGAAGCAGAAAGGGGCATAATGTTCTGTGATGAAGCTGGAGACATGGTGGGACCTGATCAGAGCCTTTTTTCCCAAAGGTAGAGTTTGGCTGTTGTGTTACCAAAGGATTTAAAGAAGGTTAGTGAGCTGACTTAACTGACATTTTTTTTTTTTAAAAACCACGAAAGATGAAGAGGCTGTTAAGATTGGGGATTTAGCTCAGCGGCATAAGCGCCTGCCTTGCAAGTGCACCGTGTTGAGTTCAATACCCCGTACCAAAAAAAAAAAAAACCTTCCTTTGTAAGAGGCTGTTCCCTTAGCCAGTGAGAGGTGACTACTAGTGTTGAATGAGTCATTTCTGTGGAAATAAAGAGAGTTTGGTTCAGAATATATTTTGGAAGATCAACTTGCAGGACTTGAAGTATTAGGTGTAAACTGTGTGGAAGAGAGTTTTCCTAAGGAAAAATAATTCGCAAAAAAAATACCAAGTGTTAACAACCCAAAAGGAGATATCAAGAAGTTAATAAAGTTAGGAGAAGGGCCATAACAGGCGAATAAATGTGGAGGTCTCTCTATAGATCACATTGGGAAAAGGCTTTCAAACTTCCCCGGGCTCATAAAATGTAGAGTTTGCGCAGAGAAAGAAAAACTGGCAAAGGAGACTCTTGACATAGACAAGTCCTCAAAGATAAAGGATGACACTAACCGTCATAATCAGTGAGACCCATCCTCAAAGGCCTGGCTCAAATCTGTTCCCTCCAATTGTCATTGCTTTTTGAATTGTGCACAGGTAATTTGGGTCCTTTTTGGAAAACACATAAATGTTTATTGCATGTCAGTCTTAAGGATTATTGTGTGTTCCTGGCTCTCAGCACAGATCCTTGCCCTATAGGTTCCAATATGGTTTTGGTTGGGCAGCAGCACAGTGTTTACAAAGTGTTTGCAGGGGAATTGAATAGCTTCTGACAGAGGGTTTTTTGTCTATGTTGCTGCAGCCATTGGCACCACAATTGTGGTTGTACTCATAATGTAGTGAAAAGGCTATCAGACAAAGAAGCCTGCCTGGCAAGCACAAGGTCGTGAGTTTGATCCCCGGTACCAGAAAAAAAATAATCAGAAAGCCTGCGTTTCACTTTTGGATCTGCTCTGCACCAACAGAACAAAGTAGATTAAAAGTTGCAAAATGGTAAGACAGAAATCGCCCGCAAACATATTGTTCAACCCACTAAGTCATTTAAATTCTTTTATTTGCCATCATTTACAAATTGGACAAAATCCAGATTATTGCTTTCATTTGAAAAATCAGTCTCACACCAGCCTAAAGTTCCTAGAGGTTACTACAGAACAGGTCAGCTAGAGCTGAACAATTGTTTTCCCTTTGTTAGGTGACTTATTCTCCAAGTGTGCCAAAGGCCTTTTCTGTCTCACTCTATCTGGCTGACCCCAGTGGGCATTTGACTTGTAATTCTTGGTCTAGAGCAGTGTTGTCCCTATGTGGCTGCAAGCCACATGTGACTATTTGAATGAAATTATTCAGTTTCCCAGACACACCATATTTCAAATGCTCAAGCATTGTTGTTTTGGCTATTCTGGGGGTTGAGCCCAGGGCCTTTTTACTGAGCTACATCCCCACCACTGTTAATTTTGCTAAGTTCCTGAGGCTGGACTTGAAATTACAGTCTTACTGCCTTAGGCTCCCAGTGTTGAGCTTACAGGAATGTGCCACTTTGATGAGCAGAAAGAAGAATTCCATCACAGCAAGTTCTTTGGTCAGCACTGGACCAGAGAAACTTGAGTGTACTCTGGGTACAACTCATTTCCTGCATGTAAAAATGGGCAATCATTGCTCCTACTCTAAAAAGACTTGGTCTAGTAAGGAGATCCTGTATCTATCTACAGGTCAGATAAGTTGTTCATCTTATAGTTAGGTGGAGAGTACTTGGAAACTGTTCTGAAGACATGGTCTCCTATGCAGTGTTGTTATCTAACAGTTGGATCTAGGATCAGGTGCTAGAAAGCCCAGCTAATATTGTAACCAAAGCCCTTTTGCCAGTTTCCTAATCCAGTTTCTTAGATTATCACAAAGCAAGAATCTAGTGTTTTGGTTTTCTGACTTTTAGGAAGATTCTGGCTAGTGAGTTATGAATGACTGATTGATCTCCAGCACTGGTCTGTTTCCATCTGTTCTCAATACTGACTCTTTTCTTGTTTTCTTAAAATATGCCAATAAGGAAACATGTACTTCAAAAAACAAACGATAGCAGGTACTTCAGTTTCTTTTGAATTGAAGAGTCATAACGATTTCTAGTTAGAATTTCTGTCTTTGAAGATACGGTATATCTATTGCTTGGTATACTTTGGTCACAGTGGTCTGATTGCAATTGAGCTATACAAGTATAACCTTGTGTGCTCCAGTGCTGGACTAATACACAGGTGGTTCCCAACTAATTTACCATTGGTTTGACTTGCACTTTCTTAACAGTGGTGTGAAGGTGATACAAGCTCCTAAGCCATATTTTGAATTTTGATTTCTCCCTCTACTAGCAATATGAAGTACAATAGATTTTCCTTCCTAAGTGGTGATCCTGGGCAGCACACTAGCTGCAGCTCCCTCCTAGTTAATATCCAGGTGAACAACCAAGGCTGTGACATTGGGTAGGTAGGTGAGTTACCTGCATTTTCTGCTTGAGATGTTTTCAACTTATCACAAGTTTATCAGCATTTAACACCATTGCAAGTTGAGACACATCTGTATTTAGAAGGGCATTTGCCACCTGTGATCTTGCGATAAGTTATTTTAGAAGTCTTTCAGATATTAGTATTTTGATTTTGTCCCTTCCTCTGAAAAATTTTCATATTGTAGAGTCTCACCTAATACTACTTCCCTTCTGTACCCTTTCTCCCCTCTCCCCTATCTTTGATGCACCATATTGTCAGTTTCTGTGTAAAAAGATGCCATTTCAGAGAATAGCTGTGGAACGAATGATTAAGTATAACCACAAGTATATCCTGAGATTTACAAAACTGTGTGGCATTGCACTTCCCTTTTTGGATTCTGGTAACCAAAATGGAGTGCAGTACAGAAAACAAGTCTGTGGTGATGGTGGGGGATGTTGATTGATGGAGGGAAAGAGCTGGTATATATGGGGCATGGTTTCATTTGAAGGTTGATTGCAGTGACAATGATACTGTATAGGATGCTGGTGTATGCTGAAAAGTACTCTGAAGCATAAATGAAGAGTAAGATGTAAAGGAAGAAAACTAGGAAAGAAAGCCTGGTTGTGTTGGCACTTGCATTATATTTCCAGTAAGAAGTATGTGCTGTGGTCTAAAGATAAGGGGTGTCTCCAACAGGGTTATTTACTCATACTGAAGAACAATAGCCTTTACAGTACAGGGATTATTAATGATCAGAGGGAAACAGCTTTAAGAAAATCCATTACTACCACAAAGCAATAAATTCACCAACAGGCCAGGCACTTTTTTAATTTCTCTGCAGACAAACTTAGCATTCATAAATGAGACTTCACTCTTTCTTCTTTATTTCTTCCTAGTCAGGTAACCTGTCCCTTTAAGTCCTAGTGCCAAGTGGCTGGTGGTTTGTATGTGTGTGTGTTATATTTTGTTTTTGTTTTGTTTCTCCAGAGTCTTCCTGATTAACTATATCCCCAGCCCTTTTCATTTTTTATTTTGAGACAGGATCTTACTAAGTTGCTTGGGTTAGACTCAAACTTGTGATCCTCCTCTCTCAACCCTCCCAGAGTACTGGAATTTCAGGAATATATCAATATTCCTGGTTCCTAGCAAAAAATATTTAATGGAGTAGCTCAAGTAATTCGTATAACTTTTTGAAGAAGGTTCTGTTATTACCTTTTACATTTTAAGAAACTAAAGCTCAGCGAGATTACTAATTTGCCCCATGGGGTGAAGTCAGAATTAAAACCCAAGTTTGTCTACCCATAGGTCATAAATTTATTGTTTGTATTATATCCTTATATATATAGGAAAACTTTAATGCCCAAAACCAAGACAGGCATTCTCTACTCTGCTATTCAGGGCACAAAAGTGTGATTACTTTTAAAGTGTTCTTGGATTTTTGCTAGAGAAATGTTCATCCACCATTTCATGTATCTTGGAATAAGAATGGACATTACCAATGACTATTCTATGTGTATGTAAATGTATTCTAATATATTCTTAATATTCCACTGTATACTAGATGTAGGAGTGCCATGAATGAAACTCAGTCCCAACTGTCTTACCCCCTAAAACTCCGCTACACACACTCAAAGGTCGGCCAGACAGAATTATAATGGAATATGTGCTCGAGGTGCCAGGGCTGCACATGACAAGGGAACTGACTTAGTCTCAGTGTGAGAAAGTCACCTCTCAAGAAGTGATTAAAAGCAAAGAATGAGAAGCAGCAGGAAGGTAAAGCTGCATAAGATGGGGCCTTCTTCACGTGGCACAGAGATGTCCTAGATCGAAGGAGACGGCAAGAGAACACAGATGTGCACTAGTGCACAGTAAGTCATACTAGTCAAATTGTTTGGGTCGATTTCACAATCTGCCCTCACATATACACACTCTGCCTGCCCAAATGATAAAGTACTTAAGAGAAATTTTGGCTATATTGCAATCATTTGTTGTGAAAAGAAAAACAAATTCCACCTGGGGTCAAATCTTTCTTAAAAAAAATGAAAAGGAGTCTTTCCCTTCACTTCTGAACTTAAGAGTCTGGGCTAAGTCCTCATTCCTTTTTCTGTTCCAACTCTTATTTGTCCTGCAACACTTTTTCTTTAGTAGAAGACAAAACCTCATGAGAGTCCAGCATGTGGAATTTTGACATTCCTGAGACCAGAGTCATACTTCTATAAATTCCATCTGGGGAAAGGGAATTTTCAGCTCTGCCCTTAAAATGCTCAGCATTTGTGCTTCAGTGAATTTTCCAAAGATGCAGGGGTGGGGGAGTGTTTCAGAGGTGGGGGAAAAATGCAGTGGATAAGTTCCCTAGAACTACCAAGTCCTTCTATTGATCTGTAAAACTAGATTGGAACATACCAGGCACCTAGGTGTGCCCAATGTAGTAGTTTACCGGAGTACGCCCAGGACCCTTTACTGTACTTACACCCTTAACTGCAAGTGGAAAGGTAATAGGGTGTTTAGTTTTTTGCTTTTAGATTGATCACTCTCCCTTATAATTCCCCAACACTGACTTCAAAATAGAAACAGCAAAAAGCTGTGGTTAGAAAGGAAAATAATTAACCAGCTTTTGGGAATTTTGATCCTGACTTTTCTATCAGTAGTTTGGTGGCATTAGGCAAGACTCATGTTTTAGCATCTGTGAGAGTAATAGAATTATAAGCAGTTGTGATATAGTTTAGTCCAGCGTGTTTTAGAAGATATAAAGCAGACTGGTATTCCAACTTACAAAAACATCTGCCAATGTCTTATTTTTCTGTTACGCTACAAACTTGTTTCCAAGGCCCAGCATCCCAACTGGTTGTATCCCAACTAGATTGTATTGACCTGTGACCTCTTCTCACAAACGCTCTTGTGCCTTCACATCCATCCATGAAGTTGCTTCCTACCTCAGAACCTTTGTTCCTGCTGTTTCCTCCTCCTCCTCTGCCTTCCACTTAATTTTTCCCCCTTAGCAGATTTCAACTCAGTTGAAATGTCACTGACCACCTAAAATCTCTCATTTGTAACATCCCTGCTCATTTTTAACTTTATTTTCCTTTGTTTAGAGCGCATATTACTATCTGAAATTGTTTTCTTGTATTCTTCCACTACAGGACAAGTTTTAGAAGGGCAGGGACCCTTGGCTGCTTATTTATCCCTATATCTCTGGATGCCCATGTACCTGGTGTATGGTGGGTATTTAATAAATGTTAAACAGATGACTGAATGGCTCCTTGAAGGGAAAGTATAAGGCCTGTGGCATGGTAGCAGTAGAATGATCCCCTACCATAGTGTCTCTTTTGTGATGTCAGTTCCTCTTGAAGTTAGAGGGACTACAAAAAAACAGAGCAATCTAACCAAAGGCACAGCCTTTAGAAGTGCTGGTATGCACCATAATTATCGAAGAAGGGAAGGGGCAGATTGGATGCGAGGAATTTTATGATACTACCGTAACCATACTAAGGTGTAAAAAATTTGCTTCCTTTGCGCTTTGTACAGGCTGGGACTAAAATTGTTTAGTTCCCTTTGTTACACAGTGTTGGCTCTTTAAAGCAAACAACAGACATTCCCCAACATTTATTGAGAGGGAGCAGTCTATTTAGTGATTACAAGCATAGGCTGTGACTCCAGACTGTCTGGTTTGAATCTTAGCCCTGCCTATTGCTAGCTGTATGACCTTGGACAAGTTACTTAATCTTTCTTTACATCAGGTTCCTCCTTTGTAAATGGGAATAATAGTAGCATCTGCCTTGTAGAATTGTTGTGATGATTATGGAGGTTAATATAGGTAAAGCACCTTGTCAAGTGTCTGGCACACATTAAATGCAAAGCAAATATAGCTATTATTATTATTTTATTTTTATTACTATAATGAACAAAACATAGTCCCTGTCTTCCAGGAGTTTGAAAACTCCAGGAAGGAATAAACATGTAATGAAATAACTATGAAAGAGTAATAGCTGGTTGTGATAAACATAGGGAAAAGGGTGCTCTGGGAAAACCTGGTAATAAGTATCTACAAGGTCAGTGAGCATAAGCAGAGAGAGGTCTGTTAAGTAGAAGATCACACCGAGCCAAACAAGCATAACATAGTAGGCAGAGTGCACCCAAACTGTTTCTCAGAATTATCATTATAGTTTTTTCTCTTACTTGAAGTTTTTGGAATACATTTATTTAGAGAAAGCTCTAAATATAAACATTAAATCAAAATCACAGGTTGAATGATCTATGCTAATACACATTAAAATAATCATAATGAATAAATATGTGCTGTGTAGATCTAAAATAACCACTCCCACCAAACTTTGGGTTACCCACATTAGGAAGAACTTCTACATGAATTTCATCCCAGAACTTTGTTTATAGATGCAGTGTAATTTAAGAAGAGACTAGCTTCCAGTCATAATTTTCTTCTAATCCCACCTCATATTTTCTGTTTTTCCTCATTCTGAGACTTAAGTGTTGAAAAGGTAAAAAGGAGTAAAGAATTTCAAGAGATGTCAATCTCAGAGGAAACGTTATAAAACATTAATTTTGAAAGTTGTACGGGAATAGACCTCATAGCCAGTTGTAACTACAGTTCAATTGTGATCCTCTAAATAACTGGATACTCCTGCCTGATTTCCACAGAAAACTCCCAGCAGACCCCAGTATTTCAGATCAACCCTGACACTAGTGAAGGAAAACCATTGCCTACTCTTATATTAATCTTCAGAGAAATAAATGTAGTTTCAAGCCATTAAATCCACATGGAGGAAAATTCTGGGAGAAGACAGTTTTTCTAAGTGTGTTACCTTCCAAGAGCAAAGACAAAAATATAAACCAAAAACAAAGGGGGTGTTAAATTTTTTTATATATGGCTAATGCTGTTTCTAGAATGTTTTCATTTCCTTAGCAAACAACTGATTATGTTCCAGAGAAGGGGCTAAGAATTTAGTAGTAAATAGGATGGATTTCACTGTCCCATAAAGTTTAGCAAGCTACAAAGAAAAATCATCAACAGGAGACCCATCCATGTTGTCCCTGGGAACTGACAGATAAGTAGGCTTTGGTCAGTAAAAGGGAAAAAGTCAGCATTTCAGGTAGAGGGAGCAAAATTGGAGGTATGTGCCCCAAGGCAAAAAAGAAAAAAAATCATGGCTTCTTCAAATAAGGGGGAGAGGCAGTTAGAAAAGAACAAAACACAGCTTTTTTTTTTTTTTTTTTTTTTTTTTTGCGATTTGTTTCAAGACTAGGAAGTGGTTGGCTAGACTTGTTAATAGTAAGTACTCAGCGGTGAATTACAGCTTTAGATCCTTCTCTGGAAATCTTTGGGACTTGGGATTTCTGGGTCACCTGATGTTGAAGAGAGGAACATCATCTATCAGGATTAGTTTTCAAAAGACACACTAATTAAAGTGTTTTGAAAATAGCTCCATTAAGTACCAATTGTTAGTGCTGCTTATTACCTTGCTCACCTAATTGCAGGGCCCATGTATCAGATTATGGTAGAGGCTTCAATCAGAGTTTGGAGCAGTCACTTATAGATTAGTGAAAGAAAACCAATAAAAGTCAGGCTTTGGAAAAGTTTACTGTGGTTTTAATGTGCGTGACTTTCTTCACTTTCCTCCACAAGTATCTCAAAGTCAAGGAAATTTCATCTGTTAATGACTGGGAAGTGAAGCAATCATTAATAGCTGTCGCTGCCCTCACAGGAACTGACTCACTTATTTTCAGATGAAACCATGGAGTTTTAGGGAGAGCTAGAAACGCAGAAACCTGTTTTCCTTACCAGGAAAAATGTGATCATCTCATCTGGGTTTTTATTACACATGATGTTCTGTCTTGCTTTTTATGAATTCTTTTTGAGCATTTTTTCTGTGAAGCATGGACTTTAGAATTGGTGTTGTATATAACTTTGATCTGTTTAACCTTTGAAATGGGTAAAGAAGTGCTTTCAAACTTTTTTATCACATGGTTAGACCTTGGTTTGCTAAAGAAAAGTCTCCGAGGTAAAGTAGGTAGAAGGATCAGTCATCTTCAAAAGAGAAATTTTACATAAGGTGATTCCTTAAAGATACCTAGCATACCTGAACAAACAACCCTTCCGGCTTGTATCCTTCTTTGGCTCCCAGCTTCTAATAAGGACGGGATTCTAAAGCACATCATTTTCAGAAACCACACCTCCTCTTGGGGCTGGAAATGGATCATAGTCCCAGATGGCAGTGAGCAGCCTCCTTTCCAGTCCTGATGAGCCTGTTTGAGGAAAACTCAGGACTGATAATGACATGTGCAGATGCCTGGCCTTGCTACTTACTCACCACATCTGTCATCTTCTAGTCTGTCCTCTTGTCAGGGGAAGTACAATATTCATTATTCTGAGTTTGACTAAGCAGAACCCTCCGGTACTAGGAATTTTTTCCCCCAGTTTCCTAAGGTTTTGGCATAAGTTAAAAAAAGGAAACAACGAATGCACATTTACACAACAGACAAGTATATTCAGGTATCTTCATTACAGTAGACTGAATTGAGCAGTGAGACTGAACTGTAGCTCTATGGGACAACATGGATGAATCTTACAATTATGAAGGGCAAAAAAATGCAAGTTGCAGAAGTTTTCTATATATATTAATATAACTTTTACATGACAGTAATGTTCAGGATAGCAGAAGAAGAAAGGAATAAATTGTTTATACAATTGAAACAATTTATTCTTTAAGGTCTGTTGAGGGACTATCCTTAGGTCATTCTCATTTAGTTAAGTCCTCCAGAATTAAAGCTGATATTTTGGAGTAAAAAAAAATTTTCAGTCATTAGAAGTTTTCTTTTTTTAAAAAAAGTTTTTATTAGTACATGTTTGCAGTGCAAAATACAGTAATTACATGCATTGTGAAGAGTTGTTACATGTTTACAACACATCTCAATTACACTCATTGTACAATTCTTATTGGATAAGAATTTAGAAAATACCTTTAAGAAATTTTTTTTAAAGTTACAATGAACTTAAAGAGAAATTGCAACCTGAGAGGCTCTAGGTGGAACTGAGCCCTGCCTACTCATTTTGTTTGTCCTGAATGGTGTTGACATTTTCAAAACTAATGATTTAGTGTCCTTTTTGAGATTTTTGCTATCAGAAAACCTGGCATCGTTAGGCCCTGGTTTTTAGTTGGCAGAGCTGGCCAGAGCAGAGAAGCAACTGTTCCCATTTGCAGGGCATGTCCTGTCCATTTGGCCACTGTCTCTAGCCAGGTTTCCTCATTTATGTAGTTTACCACATCCTACAGGCCTTGCATTCTCAACCTGTACACTAAATTCTAGTTCTTACTTAATTAGAAAATTCAATTATCCAAAGTGTACCTTCTCCTAAGTACCCAGGTAATAATACAGTTTTACCGAATACCACTAAAAAGCATCATTTCTAAGACATTCTGGTTTTAAAGTAGTAATTGTGATTTCTGTGTTTGCAGTATTTGTAAAAACTGACTTCCTGATAAATAGTACCAACCCTCATCTGTGGGACGGTGTCCGAAGCCACTTACAAGATCACTGGAGTTTCTTTTATGGCCCTTCTGGCAGTGCTGTCCAACAGATCTGTTCACAAAAAGCAATTATTTCTAAACTAATCAAAGATACTGATTTTTAAAAACTATACTCTGCTTAGCTGCCTAGTGTCAAATCACATTCTTACACAAATATTCTTTCTATTTTGGTGGGTCTGGAGATGACAACAGCAACACGGCAAGAAGTTCTTAGTCTCTACCGTAGCATTTTCAGGCTTGCGAGGAAATGGCATGCTGCATCAGGACACATGGAAGACACCATCAAAGAAAGGAAATATATACTGAATGAGGCCAGAACATTGTTTCGGAAAAACAAAAATGTAAGTAGGCCCGCACTGGAGATTGCAAGGAGGGGGTAGTTTCTTACGGTGTAATGGTGCATTTCTTTCCTGTTCTAAGTAGAGAGGAGTGAGCAGAAGTCATATTGACCCAGGCTGGGACAGAAAGCAGCCAGTGCACAGCTAGACCAACTCCCCCAGCCCCTGGAAAGCCCAGGCCAGCCCATGTTTGTCTCTTCACTTGTTCCAGATGTCTTGATTACTTTTCTCTCACTGAGACAAAACATTTGACATCCAAAGGTAAAGAGAGAAAGGTTTATTTAGCCCACAGTTTGCAGAGTTTTCATTCCATAAGTGGCTGACTCCAAGGCAGAGTAGCACATGGCAGAGAAAATAGTTCATGGTGAGCAGAAGGTAGCAAAGCAAGCAAAAGGGCAAGACAAACTTCTTCCTGTCCCTTATATTGTATCCAGGCTACTGGGATTAGGCTGATACCAGTCAATCAGTGGTCTGACTTAGTAAGCACCCACCCTTAATCCTAGCATTGAATCAGACACTCGAGATTCAGTCACAACTGAAGCAGCCCCACTTACGATTTAGTGAGGCTTTAGGATGCCATGTAGGTATAAGCCGTAACACCAGGTCTCAGTCCAGCCAGTAAGTAGCTCAGCATCCTTCAAAGACCCTACGATGAGAGTTTTCAGAAGAAGAACCCTTCCTATACACGCTCACTGCCAGTCACTCCCGAAGGAGGTGTGAAGTACAGTGTTGGTTTCAATTCATAAACTCATCAAAGCCTCCAAATATAAACCCATTCAGAGGGAAAAGAATGGAATTAAGACACAAGATTCCCTTCGCAATTTAGCTTTGAGCCTTCGGCTGAAAGAGTCTAGTTACTCTTTGGGACTACAAAAAATAGTGCTTCGTTAGCTAGTTTAGTGGGACTACATATCCAGACACCAAGGAGCCAGATTTGACCCATCCCAACAAACTGTAAAGCATTAGCTGTTACGTCCTTGGGAAGGTGGCCTGGCACAGAGCCCGAAAGGAGGCTTTCTTGCCTGACTTGTCTTCGGCCTCCTTCTCATTGATCTAATTGACTCAGTGCTGTCCCTGTTTTCCTCATAAAACTTCCAAACAAGATTCTGTCACTGTTTTTCCTTCCCTGATCTCTGCCTCCATCTCTTTTCACTCTGTCTTTACATGCTCCCTCCCATCAGCTGTAGGAGTCCTCTAAAGATCATCTTTTTTCCCTGAGACCTATGCAACATGCAGCCACCTTACAGTGTCACCTCTTACATTTGAACACTCAGCATGGACCTCTAGCCAGCCATCCAGAGGACCTCACTGCAGCCTAACTGTCCAACCCAGAACACATCTATTAGAGTGCCTCCCCTCCCAACCTGCCCATATCTGTCACAGCTGCTGTCATCACTCTGCAATTCTTTGTCCTCACTGAACAGATATTCAAGTGCCCACTGTGTGCCACGCACTGGATAGACATAAGGATATACATTGAGCAGAACCAAGATGAGATCCCTCAAAGATATTTCAGAGCTAGAAATATAAAATATAACATTACAATTGAGACAAGGGCTACCAAAGAAATCTTCCTAAAGTACTTTCCTCTTCTTGGAATCCATGAAGGCCCCATACTTTTCTAACCTTTCTCTAGCCTCTTTAGATTCTTCTCTTCTTGTAGACCAATGCTTGCCAAACCAAAGTCGATTTACTTCATGAGGTCCTTACATACACAGTCTTCTGAAGAATAGAAATGAGATTACAGCTGCTATTTCTATTTCATTCTTGTAAGATATCTGTTTCATATATATATTTACAATGGTTTTATTAGTACATGTATAGAGATGGTCTTTATGATGATTAGATTTATAATTTCTTGGCTTTTCAGTGGATTAAAGCAATAAGCATTCAGTAGAAATAATACTTTTGAATTTTGAGATATTCAGCACTTTATTAAAAATGGATTTCATGTTAGATGATTTTGCCCAACTATAGAGTAATAAGGTAGACTAGACTAAGCTATGATTTCCAGTAGGTTAGGTATGTAGTATTAAATGTGTTTTGAAGTGGGTTTATCAGACTATAATTCCATCATAAACATCTATAATTTATAAATTAATACACTGACAAATCAATTTAAGTACATATGTTGTAGTTATGAACTCAAAATTTTTTATTAAAAGGAATATGTCATAAAAATATTTGAAGACCCCTAAGTAGTTGGGCCATGTACTTTTTTATTGTTTTGTTTATGTTGCAGTGATTTTTTTTCAACCAGATTATCCGCTAGATAATATCTTACACTTTTCTAGTATATCCTGTGAACCTGCCTTATCTTACTGAATCAGTGAACATTTACAGGTACTTTTATTCAATGGACCTGCTCTAGGAGGTCTTCCTTAATTCCTCCTCCCAACCCCATGGTGGCCACTTTCTTTGAATAATATAGCAGTTATTGCTCACGTTAATTGTATACCATTGTTCGTTTTGTGTAGCTTCATATATCAGAGTTATTCTGTACAAGTGGTGGCTTTGATAGTTGAAAACAGACCATGGTCCCATGATGTCCACCTGGTGCTAGGGATGTTAGGGATGCTCATTAAACCTTTGGAGACTTACTCACCTGAGGATTGTTTAAGGCCCTAGAATTTTAGTTATTTCAGGAATCCTTCCTTTGTCTCTGTTTGGATTGGCAAATGCGAGAACCAAAAAATGGTGTACCACTGATTGAATGGCATGAAATTAATGGGCATACAGAGGTTTCTAATTTTAACGAATATATTTGTGTTGGCAGGTATTTGAAGGCAAAGAGATTTATAGAACCCAAATTTTACAGATAGTATTATTTAGGAGTGTCCATTTAGAGAAAAATTTTAATATTAGTATATATGGTAAGTAGTTTGTGCAGGCAGCCTGTATGCTTAAATTTGGAGTGTTCTAGCTAAGCTTATTCATACGGACAGCCGCAGCCCCAGAAATCCCAGCCCCTTTAACCATATCTTTTTGTCAGGGGCTTTTCAGTTCTCCCTAATTTCTCATGTAGACATAGAAGATATGATCAGAAAATGCAGTGAATGTTTTAATTTTATTTTTTCAATTATTGCAGTAAAAGATACATTGTTATTAATCACTGTCAAACTGTTCTCCCTTGCTTCCTACATATCCCATTGTTCTTGCCACTTTCTGAAACAATTCTGAAAGTCTTCTTTCATGAGTGTCTTTAGTTGCACTCTTGTGGCTACCTCAATGTCTTGAATTAATTCAAAATGTTTACCATGTATGGTCATTGTGACTTTGGGAAAGAGCTGGAAGTTACATGGTGCCAGAACTGGTGAGTAATATAAATGAAAACACATTGTAATGTTTCATGAGCCTACCTTTCTGTTGGATGGCACTCAACAGCATTCGCTGTACTTTTGATCTGTGTAAAGACACTCAGGAAGGAGGACCTCCAGAACTGCTTTGAAAAGTTGTCAGAACATGTTTAAGGGGAGGGGAGAATATGCCAAAGGGGACTGATGATAATGTGTCTTTTCCTGTAATAAATTTTTTGAAAATTTAGACATACACTATTTATTTTGATAACATCTTGTGAGCATTTGTAAGTTCAGGTCCACTAAGAGTTTAATAATCTAAAGGTATCTCATTAATTACTCTGAATTCCAGTGGACACATGGGAAATGGAAATTTATTCCCAATATGGTTAACAGAGCAGTAGCTTCTGAGAAACACAGAGGTCAGAAAGTTGAGCCTCTGCCCCAGGGGACTCAGCTATGCTTCTCTTGGTTGCTGTTCCTGGAACTCTTCCTCCCTGCTCGGAGAGGCACTGTATCACAGGAACTCCCTTGGAATTTCCAGGACTCATAGGCCCATATTTCACTGTGGGTGTCATCATCTGGGGCTGATGCAATCCCAGCTTTATCTTTTTTTGTTTTGTTTTGTTTTGTTTTGTTTTGTTTCTAGTCCTGGGGTTGAACTCATGGGCTTCACGCATCCTAAACAAATATTCTACCAAGTCACTTACTCAACCCCCCTCCCACCTCTCTAGCTCTACTTTGAGGCCCACTTGCAAACATAGCAGTCCACATATTGATTCAGTTTTCATCCTTAGAATGAAACAGGTTTTCCCCTTCTCCTACTTGGCTATTTTTAAGATGAATTTTTCATTCTTTTATATGAAAGCAGACGACCACAGTTTGCCTATTTGAGATTTTAAGAGCTCCTTTGTTTCCTTTTCTAATAAGCAATGCAACTTATCATTTAAAATAACAGTAGGTTATTCTTTAGTATATTACTCAGAGATTCTGTGAATAATACTTGCAAAACAGTTGGGTTAACTTTGAAGTTAACTGAAATGGGGAGGGTACAAAGAACCACTGTCATTCAGTGTTGGTGGGAATAGAAATGTATATATTGTTGGTGGAAATTTACATTGGTGCAAACGGTGGTGGTGAATCTATGGTATATGTTGTTTTTCTTTTAAGATAAAAGATGTTAATGTATGACTTTTTTTTTTAACTAAAACCTTAGTATTCAGGTATAAATACAACATTATCACTTTGTGGTAAATAAGCAAGGTTTTAGGTTGCAGTTTGGGCTCTGTCTCTAAAAGGCTTGATATCACTACTCTATAGAAGATAACCAGGGAATACTGTGAAAATCAAAAAACTGCGTATAACAAATATTCTTTGCTCTAGCAGTACTTTAAGAGTTCATCTTTTAGCTGTATCTGCATATGAGCCAGAAAAACTATAGAGACATCTTTAACCGAACTGTTTATAATATAATGACACATACTGGAAATAACCTAAGGGCGTATCAGTAGGAGATTGGTTAAATTATAATAAAGCCTTATGTTGGAATTTTACATAGCTTTTTAAAAGAATGAAATGGCTCTGTATATGTGATTATACAAAGATCTTCAAGTTATATTACTGAAAAAGGGTCAGAACTAAGTAAGCTGTGGTTTGTGTACAAAAAAAGCTAACCTGGCAAGTGTGAGGTCTCTTGTTCCATCCCGGTACCAAAACCAAATAAAAACCAACTTTGTATATGCATAGAGAATCCTTGTAAGAATACATAAGAAACTACTGATGAACTGTCTTCGAGAAAAAGAATTGGGGAAACGAGGGTAAAAGGGAAACTTAATTCTTAGCATTATATCCTTGTATAATATTTTTACCATGTGCATGTGTTACCTACTTTATTTTAAAAGTTTAATCCACAGTAAATTTTCATTTTAAATTTAGGTTTTTCAAATTATCAATATTTAATTTACTATCTAGTGAACAGAAAAAAATTAAGAAAGTATATACCTATACTTTATGTGTCATTGGAAATATACAAAAACCTGACTTATTTTCCCCTTTAATAGCTCACAGACACAGACCTAATTAAACAGTGTATAGCTGAATGTACAGCCAGGATTGAAATCGGTCTACATTACCAGATTCCTTACCCAAGGCCGGTAAGTATGATTCTGTTAAGAGGTGGTGGGTACCTAATGCTTGCCAGCATAGTTACCTTCAAGAATGTCTACCAAGAGGGCTAGTGCTTGCCGACAAGCTGAGAGCTGCCGCAGGAGGCATAAGTAAGTAAGTAAGTAAGTTATCCTTATGTGCTACCACCCCATCAGGACAAACCCAGATGGAAACGAATGCCTGATTTCTCTTCTTTGTACAGCTTTGTCACACATCAAAGAAAAACCAACTCACATGTATATAGTTTTTTGACCATCACTTTTTTCATAGACATGCTTTTTGTCTCTTACTATAAAAGGCAGGTGTGTTGTTACTAAAAGAATGAAGTTCAAATATTAAAGGAATGAAACTAGGCATGATGGCGCATGCCTGTAATCCCAGCACTTAGGGGGCTGAGACAACAGGATGGCCTCGAGTTTGAGGCCAGCCTGGGCTACATAGTGAAGTCAAAGTTAGCCTGAAGTCATAGTGAGATCCTATCTCAGTAACAACAAAAAACAAACATTAAAGGAATGCATGAAATAGAAATTAAAACTTGTCAAAAACTTTCACCCCATGAAAGTGACCACTATTTATGTTATATTAAAACAGATGTGATTGTCAGTGTTTAACTCTGACCTAGAAAAGCAGAAACATAACACTCTTAATTGGCTCAACCTACTCATTTGCTAATATAATCTCTGTATATGTGTGTGTGTGTGTGTGTATTTATATAGTCTTTACATATGTGGTATACTATGCGTACTGTTTTACTGCCTACATATTTTACTTCATCTCTTCAGAACAACTTTGCGTACAATTCTACCTCGGTCTTTTGAAATGCTTGCATTATATGCTAGTGTAAGAATGTGCTATTATATTAGGGTGTTTCAGAAAAACAGAATCAGTGGGGTGGAAATACATTTCTAGATATAAATATAAAAAAAGACATACTTAATATGAGGAATTGGTTCATGCAGTTATGGAGGCTAAGAAGTCCCATGATCTGTCATTTGTAAGCTGGAGACTCAGGAGAAATTCAGTGGTGTAAATCAGTCTAAGCCCAAAGCCTAAGTACCAAGGGAGCTGAAATCCCAGCACAGGACCAGGAGAAGGTGAGCTGCTGCAGCTCAAGAGACCAGCAGGCAGCAAAAGGAAGTTCCTCCTTTCAGCATATTGGAGGATGCCCATCCACAGTGGGAGAGCAGTTTGCTGAGTCTACTGACTGAAACTGTAATCTCTTCCAGAAACATCATCACCAGCACAGCCAGAAGTGATATTCAATCTAAGCTGGTCAGACTTATACACAATTTAGCCATTCCAGCCATAATTTAATCAGCTGTCTACTTGGAGGCATCGAAGTTGGTCTCAGTTTTCTACTGTACATTGAGTATCTTTGTATACACTATTTTTCCCTCTCCCATGTTTACCTTCCTGCCTTGCTGTGTGATCTGAAACTATAAATTTCCTCTATTCACACAGTATACAAAGAACAACACTTTGGAGTGGGCTCTGGAGCTTTGGAGTCAGACAGATCTAGGTTCAGGTCCTGGTCTCACCATTTAATGTATAACCCTGAGCAAGTTAACTTCTCTGAGTGTCCATTTTTCTCCTCCTTATAGATACTGGAGTAATGATTTTTATGAATTTATTGTAAGGATCAATGAATACAAGGGTTGTAAAGATTAATGAGTCAGTAGTAGATTTAGCACTTAGCAGCAGCATAGTATTTAGTAAATCCCCAAAGAATATAAGTGAAAACAGGGAGTATGAGTTCTTAATATTCTCATCCTTGTGATTCAGATTCATCTACCTCCAATGGGCCTTACCCCACTACGAGGCCGAGGATTTCGAACTCAGGAGAAGCTGAGGAAACTTTCCAAACCAGTATATCTCAAGTCTCATGATGAAATTTCCTAACCCAGAAGAAAGTTTGTGAAAATGATGAACCAACTAGATCTTGATGTAAACCAGATGAGATCCTTTTCTTCTTAAAGGAAGAAATTCAGATTTCTTCTTCAGATCTCCGGAGTTATTCCTCATTATGATGCTGTTTACCTAGTCATCCCAAGGGTTTGTCAGGGTCTTGTTGCTTGAGCACATGACATTCACCCTCGCAGTCATGGACCATACATGCTCATTGAGACCACATTTGGAAATAGATTGAGGCCTGTGGGAGGAAGGCTAATGATGATAAAACTTCGTGAGAACCTCATTCACCGCTCACCAGCTTAAGCAAAAAAACCAGTCAGTTTCTGGAAGTGCTTATGGCTACTATAATATGGCTACTCTAAAACATATACCATGCCCAGAATAACTTTGAAGGTTTTTTTTCCCTCCAAGTTACATATTTTCTTAAAACTTAGTGTAGTATGTGCTTTTATTTTTTTGGATGGTCTTTTGATTCTCCCAATTTCCAGATAAACTTCTCCTTAAAAACACATTTTTGAATTGATCACAGTTTTTCATGGAAATTTTCCATGACATCCATTTCTTCTCTATATACACAAAAGTGCATGCCTTAGTAAATGTGTATATTTATCTTACCTTAAAGCCTGTGATTACCTAAGACGACCTGGGATCTGAGAAAACTTCCATGAAACTCATACTGCGTTCATTGGATTTTACTTTAGCATAATTAAAGTACAAGGTCTGAGGTGGTTTTCAAATTACATCTAAAGAGAAGTGGGGCAAGTAGAGATGAGAGTTGTTGGCAAGTTATTTGTACATCAGTGTTATTACATCTTAACTTCAAATAGAGTGGGTATTGCCAATAAAGACAAATCTCTATCAGTTTTGGTCTCTGTGTTCTTTTTCAAGTGGGCTTTTGACCCCCAGAAGCAGTAGGGGGAAGCTGCTTCTTTGAGCAGGAACATACTTTATTATGCTCAAGGTAAGTATTATAGAGTTAGGGGAAGAGTTGGAGATCAAAATGGTATTGTATTAGGAAAGTAATAGCATATACATATTTAATACAGATGCAGCTATAGTTTTTGGTAAAGACAAACAGAAAAAAGTAAATGTGCTGGCAGGTGTATTGTCCACTCAGTGAGCATTTATTTCCAGCTTAACTTGTATAGGGAGATGGGGATAAAATATAGCTGTTGAATAAGCAGGTTTTTTCCAGTCCTCCTCAGTGATGGAAGACTTCAATTGGTCATTCCCCTTCCAGCAGTCTCACTGCAGAAGCATCTCCATGCCCAGAGGTGATTCTGACATTTAAAGTATTGTCCATGCAATATAGGTGGTCAGCCAATGAGGCAGTGACCCCCTCCTGCAATGGAGGAAAAACTGGCTGGGCTGAACCAAGAGAGATGTAACTTGCTCATCTCCATTTAAGGTAGAACCTACCTTCTATAAATCCCTCTTTCAATGTAATTGAAGTCTTCCATCACTGAGAAGGACTGGACAATAACTTTATTCACAGCTATATTTTTTACAGCAAGGACTGGCCTGGTGACCATGTTTGTCTGATGTCTGCTGAGCTATTTTATAGGCAGGGCCTGCAGCTTCTCTCTGAGCTGATCTCTGACCATCTCTGCTCCCAGACTCCAGCTTCCAGCTCACCGCAATCTCTAAAGAACATACTGCTTTTTCCCAAAAGGAGACATTTTTTTTTTATCCCATTGGCCTCAATTGAATGTGACCCCCAATTTAGGACAATCTTAATTTCCAAAGTGGAGGAAATTTTTTAAGTTACAAGGTTGTAATTCATCATGCAGAAACATTCTGTCTCATGACCCCTGAGAAATGACAGTTGCTGCCTCCCTTAGTTTTTCACTGCCGAAACTGGAGTTAGATACAACTGTAATTAAAAACTCAGTTGTTCTATTAGCAGCCCTCTCACTCACTTCCAGCTCTTTTACAGCGCACTGTTACTTACCTTCCAGTCAATGAGGGGCTGTGCAATCCCGGCCATCTTTTCATCCTACGTGACTTACCATCTTATTTGAAATGAAGCAGCAGTTCCAGCCATCTGTTCATTCTTTTTCCTCACCTCTGGATAAAGCTGCCCTCACTCCCCCATTTTTTGTTTGTTTGAGACAGGATCTCACCATGTAGTTCAGATCAGCCTTGAACTCACTATGTAGCTCAGGCTGGCTCTGACCTCAAGGACATCCTCTTGCCTCAGCCTTCCAAGTGCTAGGATAACAAGTGTGCACCAACATGCCTGGTTCATTTCTTTCTAAGTTATAGATTAGTTTCTCCTTTTTTTGCTTTGTTGCAAAGTTCAGATAATTTCTCTTGCATTTTATTGTAACTTAGGTGATTTGCTGATCTCAGAATTCAGAATCCTCTAGCAAAATTTGGTTAATGCCATAAAAAAGACAAACTGAAATTTCCAGGAATTTATTTACTTAGTTCTCAGAAGCCCCTACATTCAGATACACAAAAGATGCCAACTCAGGGCATTGTTCTGGTGAAGAGGTGGAGATGCGAGGCTAGACACATTAAGACAGCTTTATGTCTGGACATAGTGATCAATGGAATACCTGGAGAGAAGCCACTTAGAGCCAAAGAGCTACATGAATAAGTGAAGATTGTTTATTTGAGACAGGGTTGCTATGTATTGCAGGCTGGCCTTGAATTCAGTGATCCTCCTGACTTAACTCCCAAGTGCTGGGATTAAGGCAGTAAGCAGTAACTAAAGATTATATCAACAATTTGCTTTTTATCTCCTTCAAGAGTCTTCCAGGTGGAAGACTTCTGGGGAAAGACTTCCTGGGGAAAAATGACTAATTGCATTTTGAACATAATCATGAAGTTGGAGGTACCACTCTCCTCCAGAAGCCTGCATCAAAATCAAAACATGAAAAAGTAAAAAAATGCAAGGAGCAAGATGTCTACATCTGGGCTTCAAATCTGGCTCTACAAATGTGAAAAAAATACTTGGTGATCTTAGGCAGTTTCTCTTAATTTCTCCAAAGGGAGAGACAATCTCTCCCAGTACACAGGATCAAACAATGTTTAAAGACCTAGGCTCAGGGCTGGGGATTTAGCTCAGCAGCATAAGCACCTGCCTCACAAGCATGAGGTCATGAGTTCAAACCCCGCCCCCCTTCAAAAAAAAGGCCTAGGCTCAAACCCTGACACACAATGGGTTTGCAGTGAATTTGGTTCTTTCATCTTGCTTTTCTGAAGCTTTAGCCATTGGTGTTGGCTAATAAAAAAGCAATTGGGTCCCATTTCTACCACCAACTTGCTGGAACTCTGCATCTGTAAAGTGGAGGTAATACCGCCCACCTAAGACTATTGGAAGATGTATATCTTAAATATCTCAAGAACCTTAAAAGTATCTCTAGACCCTCTCAACCTCTGAGGAGCCTCAGTGATTGCTGATGTGGGCAAAGAAGTGATTGGAATGGTGACAGCTGCAGCAAAATAATAGATAAAAAGCAAAACAAAACCCACAAGCGCTGGGTGTGGTGGTGCATACCTAGAATCCCACATTCTGAGAGGCTGAAGCAGAAAGATTGCAAATTAGAGCCCAGCCTGTGCAGTTTAGCAAGATTTTCAAAAAAAAAGGCAGAGGAGGGATGGGGCGGGGTTGAGGGGGGAGGGCTGATGATGTATCTCAGTGTGAAGGCCCTGGGTTCAGTCTCCAGGTTCAATCCCAACACTCAAGTGTGAATCCTACTGGCTGTGTTCATATTTCACTTGAGTAGCTATCTGATTTACTTATCTGTATCACATTTCTGCAGCCATAAAATGAGATAAATAACAACCTACTTTATACTTTATAAGACTGCTGTGAAATCCTCGGCTTATAGCATTTCTCTGATATTATTAACGTCATCATCATCGTGTTATATGACCCAAGAAAGGAAGGCTAGACTGTAGTGGAGAATGAAATGCTGTTTATTTCCTGTTTTGGGGCAAATGCCATCAGTTGTCCAGCTGGCACAGGGAAGCCACCCCTCGGTTTATCCAGTGCTTCTGGGGCTGGTCTGTCGGAAGCTCAATGGAGAGAACATAGTTGGTAGAGTGGCCTGTGGTGGAGAGGACACCCCTGCGGGCACTTGTTTTGTAGACTGGGCACATGTAAATGTTTTGATGCAGAAACAAAGCACTCTCCCCAGGTTTCAGCCAAATGATGGGCAATGAGTCATAGAGAATTTTGGGGAGAGATTCTCCTATCTGTTTGCTTTCCCTGTCCCAACGGGCACCTTCTAGGAAGAGTCCTTTTATGTAGGCTCCATCTTCTGGGTTACTCTCCATAGCTGTTTCTTGTGTGGTTACCTAGAAAAGTGGAAAACTGTGTGAGTGCCATAACTTGCCATCCTTCTATCTAAGGCAATAATTAGAATCACCTGGATTCAACATTCGCCTCTACTGGTGTGCATCTCAGAGGACAATGGGGCTTCTGTGACACTATTTCTACCTGCTGCACAAGAACCATGTCTGATTCCTAACTGGCTTCTGTTTTGATACATGGGAGCACAGAGAATGCACCAAAGTAGGAGTCAGGAGACCACATTAACTATAGCCTAGCGACTTTGCATATCTCTTGCATTTTTGTTTTTGTTTTTTTGTTGTTGTTGTTTGTTTTTTTGGTACTGAGGATTGAATTCACGACTTCATGCTTGCCTTCCCTCTTGCATTTTTGGACCTGAATCTATGAAGTGAAATGCTAGACTCGTAATTCAGAGACAGGCCGGCAAAAACAGTTTTGTAAGTAGCAAGGATAAATCCTTGATTTGACAGTTTTTGTCAATTTTGTAGTGTAAAACTATTATCATAGTTGATTTCAGGCTACCAACCAAGAACCAGTTCACAAAACTTCTGGAAAAGTAAAAACTGGCTCTAGCGAGTTGGTGTAGGTGTGCGCTAGCACACCACTTCTTAGATGGAGAAGTGGTAAACTCACATTCCTTTCAGGTAGGTGCAGAAAGTGGTCTGTGATAATAGTGAATGTGTATGTGTGTGTGTTGAGGGAGGGTATTGTGATACAAATAGTACAAGCTCCATTTAGCATCAGTCTAATTGTATTTTTTTGTTGTTGCTGTTGTTACTCAATGGAATGTTTTTCCCACTATTAAGGTCTACAGAAGGGCATTAACATTCTTCCCAGTGAAGAATCCACCACGTTCAATAGTTAGCACTGGGGGATGCTTTTCCTTTTCTTAGTATGATGGTGGCAGAATTCTCCTTTGGAAAGATTTCTTTTATAAACACACAGACAAATGCTTATAGTTCTCTAAAATGCAGAGAATAGTTTTTGGAGCTACTCATGTTAAATACTTAATATGTGGCATCTCAGAAGCATTTGGACCTTAATAAATGCAAATCTTTGGACTAACAAGGATATAAGCAATACTGCTTATTCCAGTTGGTCCCTTGAGCTGCTCTAACCCAAAGCACCCTACCTCAAACTCAAATCCGATGTGGTCAATGGGAATGGTATATTTCCGGGCATAATTCTGAGAGACACCAGTTAGAAAAGACTGTGTGAAGTAGAATCCAGAGATCCAAAAGACCACAGGGGGCCCCTTGTCGATCCATTCCTGCAGAGCCATTGGAATAAAAATTTAAAATGAACAACACATCAAAGATAGTTCAAAGGCAGATAATGTAAATGAGTTCCACCGATAAATATTCTACTTCTTATTTTTTGATTTAACATATTTTACTCTCAAAATGAAAGTATAAAGAAATGTATTTCCGCTTTAAGAAAAGCACAGGTGCAAGGTGGTGTTGAGAACACAGTGGAGAGTGATGGTGACTGTAGCACAGGAGAATATTTCTCATGTCCAAACTGAGCAAACAGCCACTCATCGCTAGAAATAGTTGCA